CAGAATCGAAAAAATAGAAACAGGACGGACAGTGTTGCCATTCAATTAAATCGAAATTATGTTGGCTTGTCAAAATCCTAAATCTTCTAATCCCATTATCTTGCCTACTTAATGAAATATTAAATAAAGTACGAAACAATTTTAAGAATGTTTTCTCTAGGCACATAACTTCTTTCTAAAACGAAAAGTAACATGCAAAACTTTGAAATCATTTCTAAAATAGCAAGTGCAATTCTATGAAATGGCAATACTGTACGATCTTCCTAGCAGTCGCCCCGACACAGTCGGTCGGCGGCGGCGCTTGACAAAGCCGCGGCTGTGACAAAGGAATTAGGCCGAAAAAAACTTTATAAGGAGTAGCCGAACAGGGTTGCCGGGTTGGTTAGATTATAATTCCATACGAGAACAAAATTCTCGGTAGATCTTCAACAAAAATTAAAAGTACAGAAACGAAATAAAATATAATATTTAAGTCCAAAATTAGCATTCCTATGTGTCGTAATAATAGATCACTCAAATAAAATACAAATATAATAAATATAACAAGAATTAGAAATAGCTAGGTATATTATTTGATATTAAAAAAAATATTGAATTAAATAATATTAATATATTAATAAAAACATATAAAACTATAACAAGTAGGGATAGCAGTCACAAATTAGTGTAGCAGTCACTTTTTACCTTTGTACAAATTTTGATCAGTGATATCTAAAATTAATTTCATTTCAATGGGAAAGCTGTAGCAACTCTCAACTCTTTTTTCATATTATATATTTTTTGACGGGAAAATCACTAAAATATTTGTCCGAATTTAGGTTGTTTCTTAACTTAAATTTTGTTTTTTGTTTACATTTTTTGGGGAAAATATGGGTTCAACTTTAGTAGATGAATGAAATAAAATCTTTTCAAAAGATATCAACTTCTTCGGGCATGTCGCCAATACCGCGCCTAATAAGGAGTAATAAGGAGTAATAAGGATTTTTAGGAATATCTCTGTAACTCTGCAACTAGACAGAACGATGACCTGTATGTGTGTTATTACTAAATAAAATTTAATGAAACAATAATAAAGTCAAATTATACAGATTCCAACACGGCAGTCGCTTAATTTTTAGTCAAATAAGTCAGCTTTTTATAAGTGCTTCTATTGTAAAAACTAAAGACGCAGTTGAATATATCGTTAGATTTTTCTTTAAATCGGTAGATCGGTAGCTTACAGACGAAACCGGTAGACCTGGCAACTCTGTGATGAACTGACGGGAGTCAGAATAGCGAGGTGCGGAGGCGCGGGAAGGGAAATAAAATAATGGCGATAAATAAAGGGCAGGGAGATGGGTATCATGAGTGGATGGGAGGTGGCGGAATTTCCAAAATTTGTTATCTTATTGGAGTTTGTCTAAGTAGACAGTCGTAGTGGAAGTGGAAACGGGGAAGTTGTTGTCCATCTCTGTTTAAGCATAGACTTTTTATAGGCGTTTCATTCCAATGCATGTAATTCCTATGCCTAGAGATCCATTGCCGGGCCTGTATAATCAATACCAAGCAATACCAGCTAAGCTTACGAAATTCCGAAGCAGCTTAACAACCGTTGCAATAAAATCATCGCAATCTTATTAAAATATCTTGAACAGGAAAGCGGTAATAATGGCCATTTATATCCCTTAAATGCTGTTACGAAAGTGAGGTTTGTTGATGTAAATTATAACTCTTTATATTTTTATAATTAATTCATCCCTATTTCCTAAAAGTTACGATTAAGTTTTTTCAATTTAATATAATATCAACGTAGTAGAACCTTTAGAACGCGAAATTAAACAACCTTTTTCTGTTTCCATTTCAACATATGGATTAATTTTAGCGCAGAAATTATATTTATAAAATAAATTGGAATATTTTAGATATTCCAATAAAAAAGTCATAAAGTTTGTATTGAAAAATTAAAATATATAAACTCCAGATTGGAAAACTTTTTCAGTTTCTCAAATTTTACCATATATATTAATTTTATATCGTCGAGTTTATAAAAAAAGTATTTTCTTTTTTTTTCAGCATAAAGTAATACTCATAACAGAATTATAAATCAGTAATATTATAGATGGAGGCAGCTGGTTGGGCGTATCGAGTATTCATTTACATAATATTCGAAAAAAAAAATCTAATATCGTTTATATTTATTTTTTGTTCTATACAGCTTTAATAAAAAAATACTTTTTTTTCATAGCGACTGTTAATCATTAATTAATTGCTTTATATCTATCAAACATAGTAGATAAAATAGTACTTTAACCGCAAGGTAGATTAAATGATACTTTTGTAAAATCGCTATTTTTGGGACTTACTCAACCGGGTTTCACAATGCAAATTCACCTCAAATATCCATTTAGTTGGTCATTGGCAAGCACTCTCTCATTGTACATGAAAATAACAAAACAAACATTTACTGATCTGGATAAATTGATAGTTAAATAGTAAGACTCACCCGGGGGTACTCCGCCCCCTACCCACTGATATATTCTATTTAATATATCCCATTCCATATTCTCCATCTAATTCAGATATCATTCGGTTATATATATTGGTTAATCATCTTCAACAACTAGTTAGTGTCACCTGAAATAGTATAGGGCTTCCCCCGGACGCAACTCTGCCGCTAAACAGATTCGCATCCCAATCGAATAGGCTAATTGGGGTACCTCACTACCCCAACGCCGCATCGTGTCAATCGAGAAGACAAGGGAGACCTCAAACTCTCAAGACCAACCTCGAAGGCAAGACGTCGCAAGAGGTTTTCTTCTGGTCAAACGACCCGTTGCCTTACAGTACATGCAACGTTTATAGTCAAAAGACTTTCAACCCCCAAATATCAGCTCTATGACAAAACACAACACAACAGCCAGCCGGCCTATCAACTACTGACTCGCCTCCGGCAAGCTAAGCCTCCTCTTACATCACAATTGTACCGGATCGTAAATATTTACATTACTTGCCAATGAATCATACTATTTTCTCTAATCGACTTTCAAATAGAGTGTTTTAGCATTACTAGATAAATAAATAGAGAGTTTCCGAATTATAAAACCATTATTATAACCAACTTATTTTCCAAGTTTTACGCTTTAACAGCGACGATAGGTTAAAAACTTTATTTGTTCTCGCACGTTTTTTAATTGCTTCCATTTTTGAAAATTTTTGTATTCCTTTTCATAAGTTATTCGGGATTTAAATGGAAGTAGTATGGATCTGGCGTTTGTCGCCTCAGCCTGAATATCTGTTGGTAATTTACTTATTTCGTTTTGACTCATTTCAGTCTCCAACTCAATCAACAATCGACACCAAAGAGAATTAAAAAATATTGACTCAAAACTGACAACTAAAGAGACAGCTTTATTTATTTGTCAAATTACATAGAAACCAACGCCAACCCAGCACAATATTTTTTCTACTCGTAACAAATTTCTTGAAATAATAATTTCGGAATTTTTTTTAAAACGTACCTCGCCATGGAAGAAAATATTGTTTTATACACGACGATAAAATTGCATTATTGTCTCCCGAAATTAATTTACTCGCGATTAAAAAATAACTATTTTTGATATTGTAAAAGCTATATTTATAAAAAACTAAACACCTAAATAAACAAATAGATTTTATTAGAAAACTTTAAACTATTAGTTGTTAAAGTGGTTGTAATTATCTGTACTAAAAACTTAGAAGTAAGAATAGCGTAATTAAAGTAATAATTAAAAGCAAATACACTAAATATTTTAGAACTAAAATCAAGTCTCAAATTTGCGGTAGAAAAGTTTAACCGCTTGTAAAACTCAGTTTACTACGGAGATTTAACTAAAACTTACTACAGCTAACAAAGGTTTAAGAGTTTGGCACAGGCAAACAGCTTCTAAAACACTGGAAATATATAAATTCTTAAAGTTCCTGGTGCAGGATTTTGCTGCAGCTATGTTCTACTTCTTTACGATACCTGTATGTAAGAAAATGTGTAGATTTTAAATTTGCACTTTGCACGTAACATCTTAATAATTAAGTACAAATTATTTACAAAGTCTAGAAAATCGTAGGTTTTATAGCTTTAAAAATCAATAACTTTTTTATCATTAATTTCTACATGTGATTGATTCATTCTCCCCGAGAGCTCCAAAACTCTCTTCTCATTTACTCTTAAATTATTCTACATATTGATATTTACAACAATAAGAATTAAACAAAGTTCACCTTCAGATCTTAGTCTGACGTCAACTTGTTCTAGTTTAATTTTTATTGTGCAAACATTATGTTTATAAAAATATATTGCATTTATTTCTGGGACACCTTGTATATATATTCGCTGAATAAACAAATTAAAGTTTTGAATATACACAAAAAATACACCTTGATTTTTTTCATAATTTCACGGAATCCGATACCCATATTATGCAACTTTTAAATTTCGGAAAATAAATTAGAAATATGGGTATTTTAAAAATGGAAGAATATATATATTTGATACCAATTAAACTTTAAGTTACGTAATCTGCACTCCATATTATTATATTTTCAAATTTATTGTTGTCAACCTGGGCTGACTAACTGGAATTTAAATTTTCCGCTGGGGATTCAGATGGTAGCTCTGCTGTAAAAAAAAGTTTTGTTGACGTATATAATAACTGTTTATAAATTTATCGTTAATTTATTTTTGTTTTCTAAAATAATTTTGAAGAAAGTATGTAAAAGTGGGCTAATATAATTGTTAGTAGACAAAATACCGAAAATGCAATATCTACATTGCACTAAGTAGCTGAAGACATATTTAATTGCGTACCATGTCTCGGTTAAATATGACCTTAAGACACTAATACACACATACACACTGTCTATTCAACTAAAACAATACTGTGTAGTGATCTGTATATCATTTCTTATTCAAGATTTTCCTTAAATCTAAATACTACTAAGACATAATTGTTAAGTTGCTTAACAAACACATTTTTTATTCTTTTTAGGCTTTTGAAGTATTAGAAGATCTGCTGGTGAAAAATAAAATTTGCATAGCGGTTAAAGAAAAGTTGGTTAAGGATTCAGGGGTTGGCAATATATCGGTTTACGACAACATCGTGCAGAAGCTTCAGACGAAGCCCAGGGCTAAAGGTAAGTGGCAGTTCAATTTTTCTGTCATTTTCAGGACTCGACTGTTTCCAACTAAACGACTTTAGGGCTTGTATTTTTCTATTTGTTGGTAGGGTTTTAAATTTCGGACAGCAATTACCAGATATTATTTAAATTTGAGCGCTACAGTTTGCATAATGACTTTGTAGTTAGTACTATTACTATGATATAATGATTTTATAAGAAAATAGTTTAGAGTTTAACTTAATTACTAAATAATTAATTATATCTTTGTGCTTTAATAGAGTATCAGTTACGCAACGATCATTATTAATGAACGTAGGTTTATCTGTCTGTGTGTGTTTGTTTGTATTCTGTGCCATTAAGGCAGTGAATAAAATTTTAATTATGTAAACGAGTAACTAATGAATAATCGTAATCTACCGTAATCTGCTTCATTTTTTTTCTGCCATTTAAAGGGTACCCCCACCTGCTATTTACTTAAGTTTATTTTAAATATAATTAAAGCAATCTCTTAGTAGTTTTATTTTTGCTTTGCTGTCGCTTTAGTATCTTCTCTTAACTACCTATCTCTTGTATTTTAAAGATGATTAATCTTTATTTATTATTCTGTTTTATTTAGAGTTCTATTTAATTTACCTTATTTTTTTTAATTTTCTTTAACCATTAAAGTATAATTATTATTTAACCCTTTATTTCTAAGAAATATAACAGTATTATGATAATAAAATTCAACGAACTGGTAAAAAACTAATATAATTTTGTCTTCAGTGAGGGCTAACAAAAAAAGCTTAACATAATGTGCCTTAATTAGGTTAGACTTGGGAAATAAATGAAATCATTACTGTTTTAATGGCAACATAAAAAAAAGAACTAATTAAATTAATTATATTGAAGAAACTCAATTGAGAGAAAAGTTTTTTGGTGCCTGCGATAGAAGAAAATTACTTTAAAAAGATATAACAATAATTTCGAGAACAATCCAAATTGTATTACCTTAATCGATATTCTTATTTGAAAATCTTGCACCACTACTTTTAAACAATAATTTCAAATTTATTGTAATTTTCTTCCAAGTGCTTTTAGCGATTCTAATCAAATTTTAAGGGTGAAAGTTACTATAGGTGCTACATATTTTAATGCTAAAAACGAGTCAAAATATACACCAGTGACGTGCATATGGGTTATCACTGGAATATTTTTCTAGAAAAGCATGTGCGCCACTGACTTTTTTCTCTTGTTAAAAAAAAGTTACTATAAACATGGGTATGAAAATGCCTAGTTTTAGAGCGTTATTAAGGATGTTAAAACTTTATAAAATTAGGTTTTTTGTAGTTATCTTAAATACCATTTTTTATTTTAAGTTGCTGTAGGTTAGCCTAATAATAATAATAAGTAATGGTAATAATATTTAATAATAAATTAGGTATAATTTATTAATTTTATTTTTATTTTAATTTTATTAGATTAATAAAATTGCGTTTATCTCATCAAGGTAGCCGAATTTGACAAAATATCAAAAGATAATTTTTAATTGGCATTAAACGGCCTATATAATTTTGATATCAAAAGAAAAAAGTCAGTGGCGCACATGTATTTTTTAAAATATTCCAGTGATAACCATATGCACGTCCCTGATAAATTTATCGACACTTTTTTAGCATTACAATATGTAGCACTTATAGTAACTGTTACCGTCAAAATTTCATTCGAATAACTAAAAGTACTTGGACGAAAATTATAATAAATCAATAAAAATAAAAATCAAACAAATAAAGATTATTAAGATTTGAACACCCTGTAGCTACGAAACAAAGCAGAATCGGACCTATGTTAATATGAAAAATAAATATTATTTTTACATGAGGAATCTCCCCACGGGAGATGACACATGTTTGTCGAAACACCTTGTATATAAAGATAACTAGCATGTACCAGCAACTTCGTTCGCGTCGAATTAATCATTTGTAATGGTGATGATAAAGCAAAGCAAGAATTTCCATTACCATACAAACTGGATAAAATTTTCTCACATTTATGTCAGCGTGAGAAAAAACAATATGGAGATATTATTATATAACTTGGTAATATTTGAGAGGTAGTTTCATCTCGTTGGAATTTGACTTTCGAAAAATCCGTTTGCCAAAAATAAGCTTTTTACGTCAAGCAGTTTAAGCAGAATCGTGGTTAAGAAATTACCCAACATTTTGGAACATCCTGTATGATTTTTTAAAAAATATCAAAATATGTAAAAAAACCAAATAAATTATGCTTGTCCAAGCGTTTTCCCGATAGACTAACCGTTTTTTAAATAACAAATATTGTAATATTTGAGGGGCGTTTTCACCCTCTTGGAATTTGAGGTTCGAGAAACCCCTCCTTATCGAACCTCTACACCCCACAGTCAATCCGTTTGCCAAAAATCAGCTTTAAACGTCGAGCAGTTTAAGCAGAATCGTGATTACTCAATGGTGATATTTTATGAAACACCCTGTATAAATTTATAAAAAATCTTAAAATATGTAAAACAACAAAATAAAATATACGTGTTTAAGAGTTTTTTTCCGAAAAACTCACCGGTTTTTAAATGAAAAATATTTTAATATTTGAAGGATAGTTTCACCCCCTTAGAATTCGAGTTTCGAAAAATCCCTTCTTATCGAACCTCTGCACCCTAAAGTCAATCTGTTTTCCAAAAATCAGCTTTTTACGTCAAGTGATTTAAGCAGGATCGTGATTAATCAATGACCAGATTTTTCGAAACACCCTTTATACATTTTTAAAAAATCTTAAAATATGTAAAAAAAACAAAATAAAATATACGGGTTTAAGCGTTTTTTCGGAAACTTGACCGTTTTTTAAATAAAAAATATTGTAATATTTGAGGGGTGGTTTCACCCTCTTGGAACTGGAATTTCGAAAAATCCCTTCTTATCGCACCTGTACACCCTAGAATCAACCTGTATGCCAAAATTGAGCTTCTTACGTTGAGTGGTTTGAGCAGGATCGTGATTAATCAGTATGTCAGTCACTTAAGGAATTTACGAGGGGTAAACCGCAGAGGAATTATGGTGTACACTATGAAGGAATTCTACAGGAATTCCAAGGAATCACGAGGAATTCCAAGGAATTCCATAGGAATTACTAGGAATTCCAATTATTTCCGTAAGAATTCCAATGAATTCCAAGGAATTTCTTAGAAATTTAGAGGAATTCCACAGGAATTAAGAGGAATTACAAGCAACTTTATAAAAAATTAACGAACATTAGTAAACCATGAATACTATAATAGGTAGTACTAAATTTAAAGAAAAACGTTTTGCAGGCGATTTTTTACTATCCGTTTTTCGTTTTCGCTTCCAAAATTTCCCAATATCAAATATCTACAGGTTAGATATTCTTTTAATTTAATATTGTACCCTCGATTATATATCTAAAATATTTTCCAATAGTACGGCCGAACCACCCCCGAGAGATCTACTTATAACGTTCCCTGATTTCGCCATTTTAAAGAAACCCTCATAAGATTTTTTTATTCAGTACTCCAGAAAGTGTAAAGTTGATTTTTTCATTTCCTCGGAATAATACCTAGGTATATACTATAGGGAAATTAATACAACTTTAGGTGCACTTCATCAATGATACCATGCGTAATCTTATGGAATTTACTGGTGATCGTATTATGACGTGCAACTGAAGTTTTATTAATTTCCTTTCCTATAGATACGAGTATACTAGGTACCTATCATTTTCAAAAAATCTCGAGAAAAAATAATTTTAATAAGTAAGTTCCGACATATTTCCAGTATTTTCACCTCATGATCCCCTATTAATCCTAAAATTTAACTAAAAAAAACGTAAATCTCGTAAGAGTACTTTTTATTGTTAGATCTAGTACTTATAGAGACATTAGACATTTATAAAAATCACCAGAAAATTCATAGCGGAACTGCGAAACCGAGGTGGCAACGCTGGTTCAGACTGAAAGAGTTACCGAGTTCGTATCAAGGAATTCCAAGGAAGACCTTGAATGATTGGCCTTGACCTTGAAGACCAGGAATTCCAAGGAATTCCTAAGGAATTACGAGGAATTCTGAGGAATTATTTGAGTAAAAGGAATTACGGTGTACACTTTTTCCTCTGCGGTTTACCCCTCGGGAATTTATATATTAGTATAGATTATCCTTGAATTCAAAACACGACTTGCAGTGGCAATCATTTATAACCCAGTTACTTCAGCAACATCCGCAAACTGCTAAAAAACTTATTGACATTTTACGAACGCTTCGTAAAATGCGGCATAGAAAAATAAGAGACTTGTTTGCGCTTCCTTAAACTACAATTATTTCGCCCCTTTATATGCAGATGCCTTGTGAAAACAGTATTTTTTCGAGGAGACCGCGAAAATAGACGAACGAATCGCCCGATTGGCAAAAATGTTCACGTAGTAGCAGAACTAGGAAACGCATACTGAATTTGAAAATCTCGGCTTTGTAGGGGAGCCTTAATAAAGCCTATGTCGTTTATTCATTGAATTTTTTTGCATGGGGAATAGCGGTTTGGTATCAGACAGAAAAATAACGGGATAAGCCATAATAAAAAGGCATGAAGAAAAAAAAACGTCAAGTATATTGTTGAATCTCAACACGTAACATAATAATAGAGTATTTGTATACAGTGAACTATAGGCGAACATAATGTTTATATAAATTTGCATAGAAAACGTTTTTTTTTTGTCTAATACGATATCAAAATTTTATGTCCCCCGATTGTATTTACACGGGGATTTTTATTATTAACATTGTACAGGGCGAATCTTAAATAAGGCACTTTTTTAAAGGCACTATATTTGGATCCCAGAAATACGTCTATGAGGCTTTTTTTTGCGAAAATTTGTAATTTTTTGAAAAAAAAAATGTTGGATTTGTTTTATAATTTTCAGTTAAAAAACATAATATCTTCATAATGTGGCAACCTATCCTAACCTAACCAAAGAATGGTATAAATCATAGTCTAAAAAC